TGCATGCATGTATGCACACATTTGTGTGTGTGAATATCTGTCTGCATGTGTAAGTGAGAAAGAAGAATAGTGATATAGCAATAAGGAGAAAGAGACAGTAATTGACTACAAGAAAACTGTTTCCTGAGTACAGTAAGGCATCTGTACCTATGAACTCACAGTTATTATGACAGCATGTACAGTACCTGTGCTATGCCAAAACAGAGAAAAATCCCAGCATTGAATGGAAAGGTGGACACAAAGTCTAACCCTTAGCTAAGGAACTACTGGCAATTATATTGCATGAAATTCCCAAAGAACTAAAAAAAATTAAGAGGTCATTTTATTTTTTTGAAGATTGAAATAACAAGATTAAGGGACATGACTGAGAAATACACACTGAACCAGGATACACACAATAGTAATTAGTACTTAACAAAACTCACCCACCCACACCTCACCCATCCTGTGTTAGCAAGGCTCAGGATACATTCTTCCACATGAGACTCATTTTACAAAAACATCACAAAGCAAAAACAAAAACAAAAAAAGCAAGAAAAGGGAGGAAGGATGGAAGGGATGGAGGAAAAACAGAAGAAAGGCCAAACTACTTCTGTGGAATAATGGAAAGCAAAAAAAATGTATGAAGGAAAATAATAGTTTAATGATTGTACTGTGAGAGAACCAGGTCATATGTCTTCAACAAACAAAATGTAAAGTAATATAGGAATAGACAGGCTCTTGAAAAAGGAAACAGGGTTCCATGCCAGACATCTCATTATTTGACCATAGAACTGTGACACAGGAACTCAATTATCCCAGTTATTCAGTCTATGTCCAGCAAATCACAGAACTCGTGATGTTTTTAAAAGCACAGGGGAGAAATGTGTGACACTATAATTCCTGTGGCTTTTCCTACCAAACATCCACGTGTATAAAAGGCCCCTAGCAGATGGTGACACCCACATTCAAGAAACCTACCTGTTGTCCATAACTGAAGAGTCCACTCCCGACACCATGTGTTACTATGGCGGATACTATGGAGGCCTGGGCTATGGCTATGGTGGCCTAGGTTATGGCTATGGATGTGGCTATGGCTGTGGCTGTGGTGGCTATGGTGGCTATGGTGGCTATGGTGGCTATGGTTATGGTTGCTGCCGCCCACTGTGCTGTAGAAGGTACTGGTCCTATGGCTTCTACTGAGGAGTTTCTACAGCTTCTCAGTCTATTGGCTATGACCTGCTGTCCTACTGGAAGTATCTCCAGCTCAAATCATGAATCCTTAAATATCTTCAAAACGTCCAACATTATACTGAACTATGAGCAAGATGAATGGACAGCAATGTGTCAATCTTACTCCTCATCTTCAGGTGGACTGTGTGACAGCTCATAGGGAAAAAAAGTTCTTCATAATCTTCATAATCCTGGTCCAGTAGAGAAATTACCTGTGTGGAAATACATGCTTCTGAATAAAGTATTTCTTTGAAAATATTCCTTTCTTACATCTTTGTTAATGTCTCTATTGGTTTGGGATACATGCTTGTGTATTTATGTCTTCTTCATCACTTATGTGTAATAGTGAATAAGTGCCAGAAGATTAAAGGAGAGAGAATAAAAAGGAAGCACAGCAGCAGTGGGAAACATTTTGATTTTGGATTCATATATTGATAGACACTTGATTGTTTCTATAGAGCTGCTATTGTATGTAATGTCACAAAGAACCTGTTAGTAGCATACATACCCTTGTGATCAAATCCTTTTGTCTGCTAGTTAAGTTTTCAGAAGAACCAAAAATTAGTTCTACTAATATTTTGGGAGGAGTCTACACAGTGTTTCCTGTAATGGCTGTTATCACATACGTTCTCAATAATGGACAAGGTTTCTGTTTCTTCACATGTTTGCTAACACCCATGTGTTGGCTAGCTTTATGTCACTGGAAGGAGGGAACGTCAATTGAGAAAAGGCCTCCATAAGATCCATTTATAAGGCATTTTCTTAATTAGTGATTGATGGGGAGGGCTCAGCCCATTGTGGGGGTGCCATCCCTAGGCTGGTGGACCTAGGTTGTATGAAAGAAGACTGAGAAAGCCATACGGAGCAAACAAGTAAGCATCAGCCCTCCATGGTCACTGCATCAGTTCCTGCCTTCAGGTTCCTGTCCTGTTTGAGTTTCTGTCCTGACTTCTTTTGATGATGAGCAGTGATGTGGAACTATGAGCCAAATAAACACTTACCTTTCCAACCTGCTTTTGGTCCTGGTGTTTCATCACAGTAATAGAAACCATAGCTAAGACATCTCATTTTTCTCTCCATAGCCATTTAATTAACAGTTGCTTGGGACAATCTCATTATAACTTTGATTCATAATTATGAGATAGTGGTGAAATTGAACCTTATTTTACCCTTTGGCTATCTACCGGTTTTCTTTTGAAAAAATATCTATTTTAATCTCAAATTATTTAATATGTTTATTTTTATTGTGCTGTTTAGTTGTAGGTAGTCCATATATATTTTAGTTATTAATTCCCTACTCTGTGTATCCTTAATTTTTGCTTTCCACTGTGTGGATTGACCTGATGTGCAGAACCTTCCTATTTGGACATAAGACAATTTGTCTGTTTTCATTTTTGTGGCCTGTTCTGTTGAACTCCCATGCAGACATGGCTGAGGCCAAGCAAAGAAACTCTTCCCTATGTGATCTTATAGGAGTTTCATGGTTTGAAGTTATGTGTAATGTTTTCATTTAGAATTTTGTTTTCAATATTACTTTCAAATATAATTTCAGCCATATGTTCTTTCTTTATATCTATATCAATATATATAGATGATTGATAGACAGACAGACAGACAGACAGACAGAAAGAAAGAGAGAGAGAGAGAGAGAGAGAGAGAGAGAGAGAGAGAGAGAGAGAAAGAAGGAAGGAAGGAAGAAAGGAAGGAAGGAAGGAAGGAAAGAAAGATGGATGGATGAATGGCAGGAACTTGTTTTGTTATATAATGATTATAAATCTACCACTGACAATATTAGTGAGTTCAAGGGATTTTAAGATATGTACAGTAAAATCTGAGTGGATTTTTTTCTTTTTTTCTTTTTCTTTTTCTTTTTCTTCTTTCTTTCTTTCTTTCTTTTTTCTTATTTTTTTTTTTTGGTTTTTCGAGACAGGGTTTCTCTGTATAGCTTTGGAGCCTGTCCTGGAATTCACTCTGTAGTCCAGCTGGCCTTGAACTCACAGAAATCCTCCTGCCCCTGCCTCTCCCAAGTGCTGGGATTAAAGGCATGTGCCACCACTGCCCAGCAGTATTTTTTTTCCATGACATCATCCAATATCTATGTTTGTGGTGGTGGAATCTTATTTGTTTAGATTTGTCTGTTAGAATGTCAAACTCTCTGAATTTGCAATTTTATAAAAAAAATGAAAAGAATCATAACCGTGTCTTTTAATGATGGGTTTCATCATCCTTACCAGTACTCCATCCATCAGCTACAAAGTGAGAGACAGAGAAACTGCATACAGTTTGCTTAGTCTCTTTAAAGAGTACTCATAACAAGATTTTATGAAGAGACTATATTCAGGTTAGCATCTAACATTTTGTGCATAATTGACAAAGATTCCACCACAACACAAACTTCAGGAAACTGATCATAAACACTGTGCCCATGGGTGTATGTGTATGTGAATTTGCATGTGGTATGTCTGCAGTGTAGCCAAACAGTTGAGAGGGTGCAAGTGAACTTGTGCAAAGCCACAGTAAACACCAAGTTCCCTACTCCATGTTCTGTCTGCCCACCGAATCCTTTTGACAGAGAGTCTCACACTACACATCGACTTAGGCTGGCAACCAGCAAGCTCCAGCAACCCTCCTGTCTCTAACCCACACAGCACTAGGGTACAGGCATGTAACTCCTTAGTTCTGGGGATTTTAACTAAGAGCTTCACACGTACATGCCAAGTACTTTCACCCACGGAGTTGTCTCACCAAACACTGGGTAAACTTTTCAAGCAACACGTCACGTCACTGCTTTTCTTTCAAAATTATGTGTAAGAGTGCATGTGGACCCTGATTTAAAAACAAATAAAGTTAGAGTTGGAAACACTGTTGAGTGGTTAAGAGCTATGGATGCTCTTACTGTAGGGCTCAGGTTCAATTCCCAGCACCCACACAACAGTTCACATCTATCTGTAACTCCAGTTCCAGGGGATGTACAATCTACACCTGACATTTTCAGGTACTGTACACACATGCTACCCAGGCATATATTTGCCAAAACCTGAATACATAAATGTAATAAAATAAATTTTTAAATTAAGGTTCATCGAAGTTGATGTTAGATCACCCACTCAACAAGAATGAGTTTCGGGGTTACACCTACAATACTTTTATGTGGGCTTACAGAGAAAAACATGGATCATGTACAGTTTCTGCACAGAAAATGGTACATTGTGCTCTAGTAGTTTTAAAACAATATATAGAGCAAATTTGTGCTTAGGAATAAATCTAGATAAATTAACATAAGGTAAAAATTTGCCACCAATTACAGATAGTGTAAGCAATAAATAGCTTATTCTTCATGAGCAAGACTTCAGAAATGCTCCCTTCAGCAACAATAACAAAAACATGAAAGAGCACAAAGACCTTCCTGTGGGGTAATGGACTAAATAAATGTAAAAAGGAGAAAACTACTTACTGATTTATATTAGCTGACAAAATCATGTGATGCATTCACTAAGCTAGATGAAGAATGATCTAGAGTCTTGAAAAATGAAAGTATTGCATGATTTGACCATTGGATTTTGAAGTAGGAGCACAATTATCTTGGTTATGCAGCCTTGTCTGTCCAGTAAATCCTGGAACTCGTGATGTTTCCTGAAGCACAGTGCAGAGATGTGTGATGCTGCAATGCCTGTGGTTTTCCCCAACAACAACCCAGCTGTATAAAGGGCCCTTGACAGATGGTGATAGCCAGACTCAAGGAACCTATCGCTTATCTTTCTCTGAACAGACCACTCACTCCTGACACCATGTGTTACTATGGCAGATACTATGGAGGCCTGGGCTATGGCTATGGTGGTCTAGGCTATGGCTATGGATGTGGCTATGGTGGCTATGGTGGCTATGGTGGCTATGGTGGCTATGGTTATGGCTGCTGCCGCCCACTGTGCTGTAGAAGGTACTGGTCCTGTGGCTTCTACTGAAGAGATTCTGTAGCTGCTTTTCCTCCTAACTATAACAACCTCTGTAAGTCAAAGTATCTCCAAGTGTTTTAAAAGGAGAATTATTTTAATAGCTTCAAAAACACTTTTATATTCTCAATTATCTGTGGAAAAAAACAAATTCATCTTGTCTATATGGTTTCATCCTAATTAATAATACAGTATGACAGTCTGTAAAAAAAAAAACTCTTCTGAAAATGTACTTAATAATAATGTAGACTACATCAAACTTGGCTCTTTACTTACATGTAACATAGACTTGTGTTGTTAAATAAACCATATTTGTTTCAAGTATTGCCTTGTTCCATTCCTAACAATTGCCTACAATAATCTTCCAAATGTATTTGTGAGTTTGCAAAAGTTGCATGTGTTCATTTGCCTCTGGGAATGAGAGAGGTAAGTTAATTAAAACCATGAGATAGTTTATCAGTTTCAAATCAACATTCGAATGTTTTGTTTTGCACAGGTCTATTATTTTTCAAATATGTAATCCCTCCCTGTGTCCAAATTTTCTCTAAAATCTCATCATTTTCACCTTTGAAATAGTTATGCTTCATTGCAAAAGCCAAGGTGTCAACAGTGCATCTCCCAGAGGACTGTTGATAAGGATGGTGTGAGAGGACATTGATATGTATGTACATTATCAGGGTTTTCCCTATTAGTGTCTCATTCTTTTTACCTGCTTGACATGTCCTAAGAGCTGCCAATCAACTGATGTAACTGTTAGACACACACACACACACACACACACACACACACACACACACACACACGTTTCTCATGCTTGCATGTCAGGCCAGTTACTGACTCAATCATCTCCCCTGCCCTCTTTCATACATTCTTGCCGTCCCTGAGAAGGTCCAGCATAGACAGTCGCAGTCTGTCGGTGCCAATTCCCCACTCCTTAACTAAATCCACAGCTGTGCTTCTGCCACACACACTCTGTGCCATTTCAGAAACTGCTACAGTGGTCAGCATTACAATTATAGAGCCCAGACTGTGGCTGAGGTATGAATTACTCTGTTGCTATCTTCTTTATCTGGTGCCAAACATTCCAGTCCTATCTGTTGAGAAACATAAAAAAAAAGAAAAAAGAAAAAGAAAAAAAAAACCCACAGTGCAGGTGATTTCACTGCCCCCTCTTCTGAGTTGGGATTAGTGATTCTGAAAAACCTGAAAAACTGAGTTCTCCCTAAAGTCAGAGAAGGAAAGACAGTATTATTAGGTAACACTAATGTAAATGTATGCATGCATGTAGCTGGAGAGTTTTCTCTCAAGGTTCCACCAAGCCCCAGCAGCCTGACAGCCCACTTATAAAATAAACACACAGACGCTTATATTATTTAAACTGTTTGGCCTAATGGCTCAGGCTTCTAGCTCTTTAGTTCTTACATCTTAAATTAATCCATTTCTATAAATCTATACCTTGCCATGTGGCTTGTGGCTTACCGGCATCTTCACATGCTGCTTGTCATGGCGGTGGCTGGCAGTGTCTCCCTCTGCCTTCCTGTTCTCTCAATTCTCCTCTGTTTTAGTCCCACCTATACTTCCTGCCTGGGTACTGGCCAATCAGTGTTTTATTTATTGACCAATCAGAGCAACACATTTGACATACAGACCATCACACAGCACATGCAAGTAAAGCTATACCCACTGATAAAATATCCAAAATACTAAAACCCTATCAGAGTATACTGATGTCATAACCAATAATTGCATTAATTACTCTGAAATACAATACTTCTCAGAAGGTGAGCCTCATTTTTCCTGCTCATATTTGTCGTCTTTATCTTTTGTTTGGTGGTAAGCTGGTTTGGACAGGATCGCACAGAGCCCAGGATGGCCTTGAGCTTGCTATGTAGCTGAGGATGAACTTTTATCATCACATCCAGCTGTGTAGCTCAGGATGAACTTTTATCATCACATCCAGCTGTTGTCTCTATTCTCAGCTTATTCTTGGACACAGAACATTTGAACAGAAACATATTTCTTTGTTTCTGAACAGCCTATTTTATTTTGTCCTGTTCAAATATATTTCTATTCAGGCTAAATTTGCAATCATGGGAAACTTTTCATTTGATGATATTTCAGAGAATTCATACTATTTTCATTAAAAAGGATTAATTCATTTCTATTTGACTTTCAATAGTTTCACATTAAATAAAAATCTAAAGAGTGTCATGTGGTATCCTTTATTGTGAGAAACATTTTTCCCAAATGATATTTTTAGATACATTACATTTATATTCATTTAAAAATACCATCAACAGAGTAAGTCCCAAGTTTACCAGATATTATGAAAAGTTATGTAGTAACCTCATTAACACAGTAAAACAAATATATTTATTTTTTCTCTAAAATCGTAGATAATTTTCTAACATCCTCTTTAATCTCCAGGTCTTTGTGACTGGATTAGTAAAACAGCTGTATTAATAATCAGTGAAACAGAAGCAGAAAACAGAAAACAAGGATAAAATAAATAGAAATCAGATAACAAACTGACATATTAAAGTTCTCAGATATCAATAATTACTTAAAATATAAATGCTCTAAAGTCACCCATGTAAGGATAGCATAAGCAGACTAGAAAAATGTATGATCCAACAATATACAATTTGCATATAACTCACTAAAGAAAAACAACCTCTTAGATTTAATATAAGTGATACAAATACTATGGCATGCAGCTATTAATAAACATTGTACTAAAAAGCCACTTTGGTTAAAGGTTCTGTTCAGTAACAAGTAGCTTCTTATTCCCCTGTGTGCATTTCCCATGAGGCATTTGTCTCAGGCTCACACAACTGTGATTGCTGCGTTCAATTGTCATGACCAGCGCTGCTGTAACATTTCTGTCCATAGTTTTGTAAATACATTTGTTTGTATTTTTCTCTTTTATTGATTTCTTCCAATTTTTTGTTTGTCTTTCCCTCAATTTCTTTAAGGGAATTTTTCATTTCCTCTTTAAAGAACTCTATCATCTTCATAAAGTTATTTTCAAGGTCACTCTCTTCTGCTTCTTCTAAATTGTGATGTTCAGGTCTTGCTGTTGTAGAACCACTAGGTTCTGGTGGTGCCATATTGCTCTGTATGTTGTTGTACGTATTTTTGCACTGGCATCTATCTTGTAGATTACAGGGTCAGGTGGGATGGGGAATGTTGGTGGGGATGCTTGCCTGCAGGAATCTTCCCTGCTGGCTTGCATCTAGGGGAGCAATGGGTGGACAAAGGGGGCACAGGTAGTGCCTCCAGGGCCTGGGTGACTTTTAACTAGTCGTCTCTCATTTATTTAATAAGATTATTTAGATACTCTTGAATTAGAATATGTATGGATTGCATTCACCTCAAAATACTCATACAATCTCTTCTTAAAGTTCTGTCAATTTATTCTTTATAGTTTGTGTTGAAATCATTTTATGTGATTTAATCTACATAGAACTTTTTGTAAATTATTAACCCCTCTAGTACCATTTAGTCACAAGATAATCCTATCCCAACAGGAACACATACCAGTTTTCTGTAAACCGATATACACAATTTAGAAGTCTACATGTCTCTATAAACATTGCTTTGTGGGGACTGGAGATATGACTCAGTTTGTAAGAGCAGATGCTATACTAACATGAAGACCTGAGTTTAGATGCCACCAACCACAGACAAAGCTGTGTGGTCTCCAGCCCCAGGAGGGTTAGAAACAAGAGGTCACTGGCACCTGCCATCCTAGTTCCACATTCAGTGAGAGATCCTGTATCACAAAAATCAGGTGTAAAGCAACAGAACTAGGCATTCAACATCTTCCTCTGGGGTACATAAACACATCACCTACACACACACACACATGCATTTGTGCTCTCTCTCTTTCTCTCTTGCACTCACACATTCACATTCACACTCACAATCTCACACTCTCACACACAGAAATATACTCTTTTACACACATGCTCACACAGACTCACACATAATGCATGCACACATGCACACTTCTTTTTATTCTACATACAATATCAACAGCATTATTTAGTTTTAAAACTTTGATAGCTTGCATTGTGACTTTGTATTTGATCTGTCTCAATGTAACTTTCTAATTTGGAAGTTGTGTAGACTTTCTTGTTTCACTCTTTTTATTGTTTTCTAAAATTGATTATATGTGACTAAAATTCAAATCACAACTTGAAGTGCATTATAGTATTTGGAAGCTTGCTTATGGCAGCTTTTCCTCAGGTTTAGAACTCCTCTTGCTCACTTAAAAACCATGCTTTCTAATTTCGGATTCAGTTATTTTCAACTTTCTGTCAAATTTAATAAGTGCACCATTTTTTAAACTCTTTATATCCTTGTTTACCTATATTTGAATTACCTACTCATATAGTTATTCATATTCATATGTATTTAATTCCATTAATGTTGTGGCAAGAGCTTTTACTTTTGATAACTATGCTATTCACATAACATTGAATGTTACTAGGTTTTTTTTAATGTTTTGTTCTCTGCATGGTTATATTACATTCTTTACTTGTATAGTTTTGTTGCCTTAAAGTGTATCATATCTGTTATTAATGTAGGCAATGCTTATTATCTTCATATTAATGTTAGCATATTATATTAGATTCATAATTAACTTTCAAATACATTTGGCATATTAGGAGATTGTCTCTTTTAGCAACGTGTACTTAACACTGTTTATCCAGACTTTAATTTTCTGAAATTTTCTTAATAAATTTATCTTATTTATACTATTTACCAATATATGGATATAAAATATGTATGTATGTATGGGTTTACCATACCTTCACTGTTTGATCTTTTCTCAAGGTTTCCATATTCCATTTTTTGTTTAGTCAGATATTTTATATCCTACTTTTCTCTCTTTTAAAGAATTTTTAATTTCTTTTTTTATATGTATGTGTGTTTTTGTTTGTGTATGTTGCCAGAATATAGCCGCACACATACACATACACACACACAGAGTACATAGAGAGGTA